ATCTTATTGGCTAGTTGATCGGTCCAGATTGGGTGTCGTAAGCAACAAGTGGTAGGTGCATATTCTTCGGTGGAAATCTTGTTGCTTGTAATCTGCTATAGTTGACTAGTTTCATATTGTTGAAAGCAATTAGTTACAGCACAATTGTATTCACTTTAGCCAGTTTAGTTGTTTAGTTTCTGCAACTGAGCGCCTAGAAATAACAGATGCATTCATCAAACGTAAACTGAAAATTTCACCATATAACTAAACAGGGGAGCACCGAGTTGATACCAAGAGGGAACCAAGAAAGAAGCCTTACCATGGTAGCAATTCGCTTAGTTGAAGCCATGAGAACCTTCCCATGGTCGTCCAGCACAAACCCAGCCGGCGGTTTGGGCAACGTGGTCGGATGGTACGACAAATAACTGGAATCGGAACTGGAGCTCGAGGGTCCAGCCTCATCGACGCTAAAATCCTCCACAGCTTCGAGGTCGCTGGGATTAAAAACCTTGGTATCGCCCTTGCCCTTTTTCTTCCGTTTCTTGGGAGCCGCGGAGGAAGATTGTTTGGGCAAGGGTCCAGGCTGAGAATTGGCAGCTCGGCAAAGACATGGTCGCAGTGTGGGAGAGCTCGGATTAAGAAAATGGATGGAATTTGAAGGCGAAGGCCGCCATTTGAGGCTAGAAAACGTGTGGAATAGCGAAGGAGCAGCAGTGGAATCAGAGAGGGAAGGAATTGAAATGGATAACAATGCCATGATTGAGCTCTTCTTTGGGAAGGTGAAACCTAAAACGCAAACATTTTTGGCGGCAGAGTTGAGTTAGTTTCTGGGAACAGATTTTTTATTTTGCAGCTTCATTTCCAACCATTTGGGTAAGTAGTGTTATGGCCAAGATTTTAGGGGCTTTTTTTCCCCTTTTTTTCTAAATAATGATTTCTTAAAAAAAAAAATAACAGAAATAATGTTGGTTAAAAAGTATTTTAAAAAAAATGGAGTAATGAAATTCGCTGCGATTTTATGTAAAACACATCGGATGGCTGCGACATTTGATGCGAGATCCTTGTGACGTGCTCAAACTTTTCAAGTATGGAACCACATGTTTGGTGATGGAAATCACAGTAGATGCATGCGATTTTCTTTCAATCAAATCGCGATCAATTGTATATGATTGATCTTGAAAATGACCAACTTCAAGAAGCTTGGATTAAGGTGGCTAACGTACGAAGGAACCTGCAATTGTATAGAGAAAGTAAAAAGCTCTGACGCTCAAGTCAGTCTTCGTTTGATCTATTGCTCCAGAGAGAATCGTTTCACGTACCTAAAAATTGAGGGGATGGCTTTATTTATAGGTGTTGAGCTTCCGATAGTGGTTGAAGAGCGGTTACAATCGTCCTGTAAATCACAGCGTGTTGTTGGAAAGATGGTTGAGTATTTTTGTGATATAGCTCATCCTTGTTGGCCGAGCTTATCCTTTTGACCGAGGTACTCCATGGCTAAGCTTTGAATCATGAATGAGGTGTTTTATGGTCGATGTGAGCTTTATGGCCAAGCTAACTCTTATTGGTCCATGTGTCACGTTGCTTTTTATCACCTAACAATATATATGTCGTGCTGGCACCTAAATCACATCCATTATAAGTGATTTTTTACTCTAACCAACAGTAGATGCATGCAAATCTTGTAGTAAGAATCTTGGCGAACTCCATTATTTATTAAGAATCCAAGTCTCTCGGGATCCCTCAGGAAGCCCTTCATCCCAAACCCAAAATGTCCACGACATTCTTGCCAAACTCACAACTTTAGTCACCTAAAACCTACTTCATCCCCATGGTCACTGGACGTACTCTATCCTTACATGATAGCTCCCTTCTGACTGACATCACACAGTATCGTAGCACTCTCAGGTCTCTACAATATCTTCTTCACACTCATCCATGTTGGAATTTATGCTCTAAAGTCCCGCAGTTAAAAAATGTTTTATTATTTATTTGAAAAATAATTATTTAATTATTTTAATAATTGTATGCAATATTTATTATCTATTTTTATAAAAATCTAAGGTTATAAATGTAATCTTGAACAGTATATAGTTGACATACAAGAGGATCGTATTCAAGTTATAATCTAAACAGTATATAGTATATAGATAAAGTTTGGTACCTTATTATGGTAACGCTATTGATACGATTCATTTTGTAAATGTTACATATGATTTGATCCAAATCATTCATGTAGAAACATGTGAGTGAGCGTATCATATACAATGAATTTGTATGAGACTAGATTGCAAAATACTTAATCTAGCTTTCTTTATAAATTCATTAAAAGATAAAGTAAATATTTCTTAGGATGATTATGTGTGACTAAATCTTAACCTTGAGTGATTTATGAACTTCTACCTATGGGGCATGTCTTTTGATTTACATGGGTGAAAATGACTTTTGTAGGCAATCCAATAAGCTTACTATTTTAGAGATTTGACCAAATAGGGAGTTTGAAACATAATATCACAAGATGGGATTCACACGTTCCCATTATAGAGTTAGTAGATAAGTAGTTTCCGTAAGTGCTGATTTCAGGATTTGAACAATGGGGTCTCACCCTCTCACTGGCCCAATAGGAACTTAGTTTAATTTATAGTTTGATTATAAACAAATTGTTCTTAGAGGATCAATGGTACGTAAGGTATAAGATGTAATTATATGGGTATAATAGACTTTTGACCCAACTGTAATTTTTGAACAACTCGTGAAGAGTCGACTTGCAAACAGTGATCGTATCCATGGACATAACATGTTCTCCCGTGCATAAGAGTGCAATAGTAGAGTAACCTCAAGTTAATGAATGAAATTAATTAATTAATTAGTTTAATTTATTAATTTTATATCATTTGAGCTTATAAACTGTAAATCCATAAAGTTTCCTTGCTATCAATTATGCGAAAGAAAATTGAATTTGAAATGTTGAAATTAATATTTAATTATTTAGTATAATTGGATACATTAAATAATAAAGAGAATATGAATTAATGTATTTGATAAATTAATCAGAAAATTATATTTTATTAATATATAATATATACTAATAATATATTTATTTGAATAAGATTCAAATAATAATAATTTTTTTTATCTAAGTTATTAAAAGATTTTATTTGACTAAAGATCATATCCTCAGTGAGACATTTGATATATTCGGAGGAAAATTATATTTTATTAATATATAAAATTTATTATAAAATATTTATTTGAATAAGATTCAAATAATATAAAATTTTAAAATATGAGATATTAAAATATATAATTTTATTAAGGATTCTATTTCAAGTATATTTTATACATTAAAAGAAAAATAAATATTTTCTTAATATATGAAATATAATAATAAGATATATATTTGAATAGAGGATCAAATAATATTAAATTTTAATATATGAGATATTAAAAGATATTATTGTATTTAAAGGTTCTATCTCAATTAATGTGTGTATATATATATAGTATTAATATATGAAATATAGTAATACGATATTTATTTGAATAGAGAATAAAAAATAAAAAATATACGAGATATTAAAAGTCCTATAAATAGGAGCTTGGGTAAGAAAAAAGAACATACGCATTATTTGAGAGAATTCTATCTAATTTTTTTCTTATGCTCAGTCGAATAAGGTTCCCCAAGGTTGTTTCAATTTCTAATTTTATTCTTAATTTAGTTCTAAATGTAAATTCAATATCGATCCAAGATTTCTAAATTTTTTGGAATTAAAATTCCATTGTAGAATTGTTTGGGTATTTTTGATATAAAATAAATGAAAGAGCGCAAGTGTACACCCGTCACAACTTATAAAACGGAAAGAGTATTTCGAGTATCGATCCTTAGGGACAAATGAAGTTTTTTTATAAAAAAATGTTAATGATTGGTGACTTTGCAATTGATTTAGGGCTAACAAATATCAAGGATAATGTTGGTTTTGATGTTTTAAGACTTGCTGCAATAAACTTATACTAAAAATACGACAGATTTTTCCATCTAGGCGTCAGGCGCCTCTCAATATTTTTCATCGGTTTTGTCTCATCATCTTCTTATGTCTAAGTGATTTTGAAGGTATAAGTTCATCCCTAAAATGTCTATTAGAAAATTGAACTTAATTTAATAAAAATCAACCGTAACCTTAGGTCGAGGTCCTATGACTTGGCTACCCGAGCGAAATCTTTATGTCTAAAGTATTTCTCTCCAAAGTTAAATCATTAAAGTTGTGGAAATGTATCAACTCTTTCAGTATTGATGCTTGGTTAAAACATTAATTGATCAAATCAAATTTTAACTTTGTAAAACAACCTTAAGTGATAAAAGATCATCGGGGCTTCGGTTGCCGGCTCCCCTGTTATCAGGTCACCAACTTCCTTCACCTTCCGGCACTGGGCAGGCGTCAGCCCCCATACATGGTCTTACGACTTTGTGGAGACCTGTGTTTTTGGTAAATAGTCGTCCGGGCCTGGTCACTGCGACCCCCTTTGTGAGGAGGCACCCCTTCTCCCGAAGTTACGGGGCTATTTTGCCGAGCTCCTTAGAGAGAGTTGTCTCGCGCCCCTAGGTATTCTCTACCTACCCACCTGTGTCGAAAAACACATTTTACCTTTTTAGATTTTAAAAACTTTAGCTAATCGTCCATAACCGGGCTTGGGAAAAATAAATTTAGCTCATAAATTTAGAGAAAAATAATAGAATTGCATGTTGATGTAAATAAGAGACATAATTAAAAGATGAATATAATTAAAACAAGTTGAAAATGGGTAAATTGTAACCCGAATGACCCTAACCCGTCCTCTTTCAAGATTGAGGAGCAATACTCGGTCAATTCTACAAGTTTGTGTGATTACAATTTTGTAGAGAGAGAAAGATGAATATCAAGGAACTTGCTGTAATTTTAATTGAATAAGATCAAACTTACAATTGAAGAAAAATACGCTGGAAATAAGCAAAGTTTAAAACAACAACAATTAAAAAACTTAAAAGGGAAAACATAAGTAAGCTGAGAGTATAGTGTCTAAAGCTGAAAATGATCACTTGAGGATGCTGAATGAAGTGATGGAGTTGCTGTATTTATAAGGACTTCAAGGCGGTTAGGAGGTTGAGACTTTCATGGAAACCATCCCTTTACAACATCTTTTGGTTGGTTTATTGTTGAATTGGTCATGCATGGAAACCATCCCTTTACAACATGCATGGAAGACACGTGGAGGGGCTTGGGGAAGCTTCAAAACACATAAAAACTTGCATTTTACCTTAAGGGCAATCTCGAAATTGGACAAGGCACCTAGCTCAGTTTTTTCTGCACAAAATTGTAATTTTCGTTAGAAATCAACTCTAAATGATGTAAAAACGTCTTTTATGCATGTATAACCTAAGATAACTCAAAATGAAAGGTTTAGGACACTAAACTAAGCTTCAAACACGGTTTTTGAGTGTAAAACGATAAAAAACAACACGTAACTAGTTCCTTTTTACCCATGTAAACAAGAGAAATCAAAAATGAATTCTTCGTTCCAACAATCCTGACATCACCTTTGTTGTCAACAAGCTTAGCTAACTCAACGAAGCTCCAACTACAGCACGCTAGCAAGCTCTCAAATGTGTGCTCATATATCTTAGTGGAGCTGCCAAACTTGGTCTAGCCATCCAACCAACAATTCACTTTACACTCATGGGGTATTGTGGTGTAGATCGGGTTGCATATCCAGATGATTGATGGTCTATTGGTAGCTACTTGTTAGTTAACTCAAGCTACAATTACAAGTTTGAAGGTTAGTTTTGAGTTGGTCTAGTCTAAGTCCTAGTTTCTAGGGAGTTGTTAATTGTGTTTTTAGTTGTAGTCAAAGTATTTTAAGTTCCTATTCTTATGAAGTTAAGTAGAGTAAATTGCTAATTTTGTAGAGATAGTTGCATCTATTTTTATCATTAGAGTGTGTATTTATATGGAACATTATTGAATAAAATTTACACTTCCCCACTTTCTCATTTATCTCTTAACAATAAGAACTACAATGGTATTAGAGCCTTATAAGTGAAATATCTCCAAGAAAAACTGAGTGATACACATGTAAGAGTTGTGTTAAATGGAGTTATGACCAAACAATCTTTCTTCACTGACTCCACCTGTGTTTGATGGTGAAAACTACCACGCATGGACTATTAGAATACAAGCCTACATGGAGCATTGTGATTATTGAGAAGCAATAGAGCAGATTATGAGATTGCTCCACTCTCTAATAACCCAACAATTTATCACATCAAGACTAACAAGGAAAAGGGTCACCAGGAAGGTAAAGGTTTGAGCTTGCCTATATGCAGTTGTGTCTCCCACTATATTCAACAAAATTATGGCCTTGAAGTAAGGAGATCTGGGAGTTCCTCAAAAGTGAGTATGAAGGTGATGAAAGGATTAACGACATGAAAGTATTGAACTTGGTGAGGAAATTGGATATAATACAAATGAAGGATTTTGAGTCCATTAAAGAGTACTCAGACAAGTTAATTGGGATTACTAACAAGGTAAGAGCATTAGGACTGATCTATCTAACAATAAATTGGTTTGGAAGATTCTGGTTTCAGTACCTAAGAGATATGAAGCAACCATTTGCTTCCCTAGAAAATTCTAAAGTGTTAGGATTTATGCTCTAAAGCATCGTAATTAATATATTTTTTATTTTTTATTTAAAAAATAATTATTTAATTATTTTGATTGTATGCAATATTTAATATCAATTTTTATTAAAATCCAAGGTTATAAATGTAATCTTAAACAGTATGTAGTTGACATACAAGACGATCATGTTCATGTTGTTGGGTTTAGTGCCCTGAACTCGTGAGTTTGTAATTTGTAAACATTTTATTCATTATTAATAAAAGTTATTTTATTATTTCTTTGCATTACTCGTCCTCCAATAAACTAAGATCCAAGGTTATTTAATGTAACTGGAACGATATATATTTGATATACACTATATATTTCATATACAATGTATATATTTGATATACAATATATATTGATATATAAGTGGATAATGTTCCAGTAATAACATCCACTCGCTTGTACTCACATTTCTCATACTTCTCAATTTTCTCTTGATGTTCCATGAACTCTTCAACGCTCATGCTTTCAGTATCAATTTTCTTTAGGTTCTTGTCAGTGAAGACATAGGCCACCTTGAGAAGATTAAGGTATAACAACAAATTCCCTTCCATCTCTTGAAGTGTGCTCCCTTGAATCTAAAGAACTTGTTTAGATCTCCAACATTCTCATTAGGTTTCTTAATGGTAGAGTACTCCTTATCAATTCTTTTTAAATTGATGTTGAATCTCCTTAAAATTGTTGGGGGAATTACAAATAATAGAGGTAATTGGAGTAAATATTGAGAAACAAAACACGAGGTGTGAGTATCTTGCTCTATTTTTTCACTTAATTAATAGTATGAGAATGCATTCATTTCCTCTACATTGACCCGATTTATTATTCTATCAGAGTGAAACAAGGGATTTAAAGAAAAACACTCTATTAGTAACAAGTAAATCATTTGGATGTAAAAAAGTATCAATGTTTTTGGGATTAAAGCCCAGTCGCAAAGGTTTGAGACAACCCAAAAAGCACTTGCACATGATCAACTTTATAAGCCTTAAGGAGATTCAAGTTTTATGTAGTGTGTATTTCTTTATCAACCACCGGTACAACATGTATTCTCTAGCTTGTCCCCTTTAGGATACAACAACCTAATTGAACGTTATGTAGCTCAAATCACTCTGCAACTAGAGGTTGAACTCAATGTTCCATAACAAAAAACACCCTTTTTTTTTTCAGTTGCTCTTAAAATAGCAAAATAGAGAAAGTAGAGAATATAGAAGATATGTTGAATGAGTTGTCTATCTTAGAATACATTTTGTTCCTTAGAAATGTTGAAGTTTAACTCTCATTTAAAAGTTAAAACTCCTACAAATGGTAAATATTAAAATGTTACAACACCTTTAAGTATCTCCAATGGTATGATAATGTCTATTTTGAGCATAACTCTTACAACTTTACTTTCGTTTTCACCCAAAACATCATGGATCACTCCCATCCCTGACGATAAGTATCTCTAATGGTATAATATTGTCTATTTTGGGCATAGCTCTCACAAATTTGCTTTCGTTTCCACTGAAACATTATAGATCACTCACATCCCTAACCATGTGGAATTTTGTTTGCGCACCTTACCACCTCAACTTACTTTTGCAAATGAGTTAATGTCTTCGAATGACTATTTTAGAAACTTATTTACACAAATATCTAAAGTTTTCCAATTTTATACTTTTAGATTTCTGCATGTAGGATTTTATTTTAATATCGATTTTACCCCTTATTTATTGCATTTACACTTATTATAGTTATTTGTTTTTTTTCTAAATATAAAAGATTATAATCCTTTAATTATTGTGCTCCCATACAAATTTTCAACACTAATTCCGTAATTCACTCCTTCAAAAAGATTTATTCCTTTGATTTACCAATATTATTAATTACAACAATATCCAAATCTTTGTCTCTCCTTGTGTAATTTCCCACCGCCGTTCGAAACGATTTCCCCTCATTCAACAGGTTCATCTCTTCCCTAACCTTTAATTTCCCCTTGTTCCCTAACCTTACTGTTTGAGTGGATGTTTTGATATGTCCTCATATATACACTATAAGATATATCACCATATATACTGATGACAAATCGATGGAATCAAACTTAGTATAAGATATATCCCCATGTATACTCATATATACTGATGACAAATCAATTGAATCAAACTCACTATAATAAGATATATACCCATATATACACTAGTTCACACTTACATTTTGCACCACTGAAATCTATAAAAATAGAGTGTTAAACCGTACATAATTAGAAATCGAAAAAAACCATTGAAGATATATGGGTATGGAAGGGGTTTAACGATTAAAAGAAAAAAAACATGGGTTTTCAACCTTGTTCAAATCTGAAATCGAAACTTGGAGGATATATTGGAATGCAAAATATATCATGGTGACACAAAATAACCTTCCGGTCGACGAGATGAAAGAGACGAAGGAGAATCTAAACGAACTGCTCCGACGATAAAGAAAAACGGATACGGCGGTCGGAGACGAAGGAGCGCAGATGACGGATGGAGACGAAGAATGCTAACGGCGGCTGGAGAGGGAAGAACACATACTGCCGGAGACGAAGGAACAGAGCAATCTTTGAATGAGAGAGGAAGAAGAAAAGTTGGAGGAAGGAAGGAGGGGTTTTCAAAATTTTTCAATAATGGAGGATTTTAGGGATTTGGTTACTATTCTGAGGATTTGGTATTTTTTACTTTTGGAAAGTTTAATTAGACAGAATTTAAGGGATTTAAAATGTAACCTTCCAATTAACCAATTTTGGATTTTAAAAATTAATTAATATTGAGTTGTAGATACAAAATGATATACTAGTATAAATTGGGTGATGAGTACCATCTTAAATGGGGTTGTTTCGTGACAAAAATGTAAATTTTATACCTTCAATTCTTTTATATAATTATATAATTATGATCTCTAAATAACTTATCAATGTACTAATCCCTTTACAAATTAAAACTAATTAGGTAAATCTTACATTATCCAATAAAATTAACCAATCAAATAATTATTTTTAAAGCTCAAATACAGACAAAGTTCTCAATTCTCATTACTTTGACCTCAACAAATACGATTTGAGTTGGATTTGTCAACTTGTCGGTTTTTTTTAACACCCCTACTTTTTTCATAAGCAAAAGTTTTATGTTTTTTTTCTTTTTTTTTTTTTGAGAAAACAAAAGGTCTATGTTATGCTGCAATAACTTCAGCAAAATATATAAATTTAAAATTCCATAGGTTGAATTAATAAAAAAAGAAACTAAATTTATTTACTTATATTGTACTTTTGCAACTCACACTTAAGAATGTCACATTGGGAGTGATTTTGACGACACTAAGATTATTTTTGCAATTTCCTAAAATTATTTGTTCATCATTATGATTATTATAATCCATTATAACCAGAGTAATAAATTTCCATCATGTCAACCTTCGAACAACACTAAAAACTATTTTTGTCACTACTAAAATCCTTTCATTTTAGAAATAATAAAACAATATATAAGTAATTTTAAGAAAAACAGGATAAAAGTGATTTTGACTCATAAAAAGACCTGGAGCGAATGAATTCAAACTATAGTGTGGCCATCTATCTAAGATTTAGTATACGAGTTACGTTTACCAAATGTAGTAAAATCAAACAATTGTTCCGTGAGAGATGTGCGCAAACTGATCCAAATACTCGTAAACATCAAAATAAATTTGAAAAAAAAAATGATTTTGGCTCAGATCTCATATTTAAAGAGGCC